TTTGTAATTGAAAAGCTGGCAGAGCCTTTAATTATAGGGGAGCAAACAATGCCACTAGAGAAATGTAAATACAGCCTAATTGTTACTTCTTTATTTCATAGTTAAAGAGCCAGCTGACATAATGGCAGACATGGGTAATGCCTGTGTCTTAAGCAGCAAGATTTGCAATCAAGTTTTTAAAATGTTCCCTCATCTGTCTCTCTCATGGGACTTAACATGCAAAGTCTTGCCAAATGAATCAAGAAAAAAATAGGGTAAGCGTGAATGCCGGAAAAAGAAACCAAAAAGAATACACTGAAAGTACTATACGGGCCACAGTTTAATTGAATTGTGATTTGTTGGTGTTGTAAGCACTCTCCAGAAAGGAATGTCATGCTAATCAAAAGCTGTCCAACTTCACCTTATTTTTAGCAAGCAAACTTTAAATGAGACAGTTCAGGATTTTGATTTCTGAGGGATATTGGATCACATTCACCCACAGGGCATTTAAATATAAAAACCTATTTATATGCAAATTCTTTAGTATTTCATGTAAAGTGGATTTTTATCAATTGACCAGACTATTCTATAAGTTATCATGTTGATAAAACATCTTTAGTAATGGTAAAATGAAGGAACAAATATAGTCAGCACAGCCTGTTTAGGAATATCCTAGACTTTCTTGGGGCATTCCTGTGAGTTCTTGAAATGTAGAGCTATAAAGTTAACAAATTGCCTTTCACAGAAGAACCCAGGAATAGAAGTCCTTGGAAAAGACTCTTGATGGCTCTCACCTTAACTAGAGAGATAACTAATACTGGGGAAAGTTCAGAATATGTTACTTACAAGCCAAAGGAAATAAGAGTGCACTTTTGCTATAGAATCAAATTCTTCAATCTTTTTTTTTTTTTTTTTTGAGAAAACTCAGGCCAAATCCCTAATGTCCAAATTTTAGCTTGTCCACACAATATCCTTTTGACATCTATAGAAGAAAATGTTTCATTATCAGAGCACCTCTGGCTGTAGTGAGGGAACATTTGAACATTTGCTATTACAAGGTATTCCTTTTGATAGTAGTTTATATGCAAATATGTAATTTGGGGTGGGGATGTATGTGTGCCTTGATAAGTCTACATATTGTGCAACATTAACAGAGTTTGGGGGGCGGGGGAGGTGTGAAGGGGGAGCCCCTTTGCTGGAAAAAGAAGCAATTTCATTAGGAAGGTCAGAGCTTCTGGCCTTTTGCTTACCCACTGTGAAATGCCTTCACAAAACTAAATATATATTTCCATTGCCTCTTTGAGAGTTTTACCAGGAGACTTTGAGCATCAGCACAGAGTACCACCATCCACACTGACATTAACACTTCCAAACAAGAAACTGGTCACCTCGAGAAACTAATGCCATCATCTCAACTCTCCTTGCAGTGTTCCAGTGTTAAGAATGATTACACCAAATAGCTGGAATCCACCCTAGATCTTCTCTGTGGGAACAAGTTGTCTTGAAAGACTTTGACTAGTTTGCCTTTTTTTTTTTTTTTTTTTTCCCCTAAGGCTTCCCTCAGGTTTGGAAGGCAACAGAATAGTTATCCCAGCTCTGCCTCTGGAGTTTTGCAATAATCTAGCTGGCCGAGATGAAATGTATAATATGATTAGCCAAAGGACACAGAGCAACCTAGGTGATTAAGTGGGAGAGTTTGGAGATCACAGATCTCACCCCCATCCCTGGGAGGTTATAGTCATGATAGCAGATTGCTCTGAACATGTTTGAAGTGGTTATTTGTTTATTTAAACAAGTTAGATGTAATAGAGCAGTTCCCTCTTTTCCTGGAAACAAGTTAGTGTTTCTTTGGATTGTTTATTCCTCCAAGGCTGAACTCAGGAACAGTCTTTCAGAAATAATAAAGTATTACAGATTGTGCTGGGTTTGGAGCAATACACAGAAGTGACCATTTCATACGCCATCTACCTTGTAAAGAGTTTAGTATACATTATTACAGAAAATGGCATAATTTATCTGAGTACTAGTAGCCTTTCTGGTAATAATATTGCATTGAGAATGAATTTAAGCATATTTGTCCAATATAAACATTTGTAGATTTCTTCTAAATTTACATAGTCCTTTTAAGAGGTTTTAGAGAACAGGCAGGCGACTTCTTCACAAATTGAAGCTCATTAGATAAAAAAGGTATTAACATTATTAGTATTTATTACAGAATTCAATTAACCAAATGAATGAAGAAGCTTTTTTGCTATTTCTTAATAGTGAGTGATCAATGTGACACTTGAATTGACAGTATTTTTAGTATTTAAATTTTGCCTTAGTAGGTTCACAACTGACTGCAACACTCGATGCCCCTTATTGCCTCCAAGTAGTTCTTACAATTTGCCTTTCAACTTCATCTATTAAGTTTTTCTCTAATACATAAAAAAAAAAAAATTTTTTTCAACAGGCAGGCATTATCACCAATTGGACTGGTAGGAACTGTACTTTCTACATTTCAGTGAAGATTACTATTCTTTGTTATCTTTCCACTGTCTTTCTGTTGCACATATCAATAACTAAAATAATACAGCAGAATAGGTTTGTTAAGTCAAACAATGTAATTTGTAGAAACTCATTCACTGTAGTTCATTAAAACAATGAACTTGTGTCACTTTACAATTTCTGTATATCTATACTGTATTCATGGATTCGTTCACTTCTACCGATACACATTCTTTGGAAACAGATTTTCCAAATGATTTATTTGATGAATGCAATCTTTTTGTTTCTTCTCATTTTCTATAAATGGTACACAGCTTTTATGAATTAGTTCACAATTCACCATCATTCCAGCACTCTGAATAGAGGAATTTCATCCTATCAATTTCTCCTGATCTTTTTGGTTATTTTTCTACAGTCCTAATTCTTCATTTGATCACTAAAGCAGCAGCACATTGTGTCCCCTGATAAGCTAACGTTTATAGCTTTTAGTATAAATGCATACTCTATTGTGAATTGTGTTATTGATATTAGTTCGAATGCAGAAGTTCTTTACAGCACTCCAGGGAACATAAAGGTACCTCTTAAACAGACAAAATACAACCTTAATTAAGCTTATGAAGTAAATTTACCTCAAATATTACAATAGATAAGCAATACAGGAATGGCCAAGGCTGAATTGAAACAAACTCAAAGTAATTTTTGTGATATCTCTTCATCAGACTGAAGATCTGCTAAAATTCTTAAAAGATCTGCTCACCATATTCATGGGAAGTTCAGCTGAATTTCACTCGGTTTCTGATTTAAATTTGTATTCTTGAAGCTACCACATTGTACTATATATGGAAAACTGCAAGCTTGTACATAACTTGTCATGTATAATAAGCAGATTTGCAAAATTCTAATAAAGTCACTATACTTCCTTTCATGTATCATCAAAAAACATGTATCAAAACCATCATGGAAATGGAATTGGTGAAATAAGGACTCACTTTCCCAATGTGCAAAACAGGAAAACACTTTGAAATCAAACAGAGATTATTTTCAAGGACTTTGTTATAACAGAAATAGAAAACCATTTACACTTGAGGCAATATATACACATATAGAAGTTCCTACACGCTACAGTTCCCTATCAAACAGTATCACAACTGGAAAAAAGCAGATGAAAACCAAAAACCTAGTGTCATCACCCATGTTTTAAAATTCCTTCTTTCTTGGCATTAAGTAACAAAGACTGTCATTTGGAATTAGTTTCACAAAGGTATACTGAGACATGACCCACCATTAACAGTTTTTAAAATGATTTTATCTTCATTTCTAGCTTTCCAATTTAGATCCATTTAAAAAAAAAAATAAAAAACAGAATAAAGATTCTGACAACAGTCAAACCAGTTTGCAACTGGAGTGATTTTGTAAGCAAACTGTTATTCTGGAGCTTTCTGGAAGGAACCAGAGCTGAAGGTATCCCAATCTTCCCTTTAAGGAGACACTTATATTTTAGAATTATCATTAGTGAATTAGCCATATGTATCCTTTTAATAATCAGCCTTATTAAGGATAAAAGCTTATCTCCTATTCTCAGATGTAATTACAACACACCCCTGATCTCTACTAAGTCTATAAACAGAATACTTGTTCTAATTCTTGACCCTTGGGATCAAAACCAAAATCAGAGATTAAATGAAGTCAAAACCTTATCAGTAGCTCAGTATAATACAAACTAAAATACAGAGAGTGTTCACAATTATTTTGTATTCAGACTTCACTTTGTATTGTGTTCAAACACTAATCCTTCCATTTACTCTAAAAGATTAATGCAACAAAAGGGTGACTAATTGTAAAAGGGCACAATAAGGTTCAGGTTAGTGCTCTTTTATATTAGAGAAAAATAATATGTTTGAGATAGAGAAATTAAATTTTCTGGAAGCGGTCAGCATGGGAATCAAATGAATCCTTCCGATTCATGCAGAGTCATGCATTAACCACTTGAGATTTGGAAGGAAAAGACTTAAAGCTTTTTTTCCTCCTGTACAGATAATTTCCTTTAATAACTAAGACACTATTTTGTCTTCAGAATATCAACTTTCCAAATTAGTTGAGTTCTGAAGGTCCTCCAGAGCACAACATCTATGATTAAACACTTTCTAAAGTTCATTCTACTAGTAAAAGTGGAAATTCCATTATTTTAGCAAGAGCAGGCATGTCAAATTTATCAAGGCATAATAGGGCTGGGGATGGAACAGATGTAAGGAATCTATGTTTGTAAATTATATTCACAGAGCACAGAAGTTATTATAAACCTCATTATTATGTGGTACAGTAATCAAATGAAAAATATAGTTGTTGTGACTCAATTGTTAAGCCTAAAATGTGAAGAACTACCTTCAAAACTTTTAAAAGATAGCAATTGAGAGGCAACAAAATCATACAAGCATGATTCCTTTGGCTTGGTTTTCCTCATGAGAAAAGCCCCTATTTACGACTTACCCTCCTCAGGAGCTCTGGGGGCTGTGGAATCAGAGCCACATGCAGTGTTACGGTCCCCCCCCCCCCCCAGGTTGCAGGGATGGCAGCCTCAGGAGCTTCTCCTCCACCAGAACGCAGACTCCAGCCATACCTGAGAAGAAGCACATGCAGGAGCATCACAGAGAACCCTAATATGATTCCTTGAGGCAGGAGCCAATGCCATGAAGAGGATTAGCTATTTTTTACAGTGCTTTTACAGTGCCAAACCATATCCAGAAGGTGGGCCAAAAGCTTAATGTCTGGCTGCTCAAATAGTTAAGTGACCAATTTGTTGCTAATTTATGCACTTTCACCACCACCACTTTTACAGCTATACTGCTGTACAGCTGAGTATTGTAAAAGTAAGTTACTAGGCTGCCTCTGCACCTGAGCATTCTTTCTATCCACAGCTGTGGCAGATTTGTGGAAATTTAGCCCCATCATGCTGGAAACAGATACCTGCTACTGAGACATGGAGCTAGTTACTGCAGAGAAACAGAATTGGTGCACATGTGCTGCATATGGGAAATGAAAGTGGAGCTCTTGGTATGATCTTCTCATCATGATCTCCCCAAGCTCCTGGATATTCTCATAGAAGTAGAGGGATGAGACAAGCAAAGATAAGCATTAAACCATGACCAAGGAGATAAAACTTCCTGGTGAGTTCTGACACAGCATTTTCCAAGACTACAGTAATTGTACTGGGTTATAACCAAAGGATGTCTACCTTAGTATGGGAGAACATGGTCAGTTTTATTACATTATATGTAATTCCTAATCTTTGTTTTTTCAAGAAATTAAAAGAAAAAACCCCTACCTTTCTATTTTGAAAAGGGATATTTTTGTTCTGTTATTAATATCAAAAATTTCCTGCAAAATATAAATCCTATGCTTCAATCAGCTACAAAGGGCAAGTATGGCCAACGTGAAGCCATAAAAATAGAATAAAATAGAAATTATCCTACAGCATTATCAAAGTGTCTGAATTACCCAACTGCCTCATGATTTTGGGCACAATTAAATTCACTAATAGGAAAGCAGTTGAATAACATCATGCTTCAGATCACTAGTTGAATAACATCGTCATACTCAGGCTAATACATTGTGACAGCTCCTGCCTAGAATATATTACTTAAGATTTGAAACTCTTGATCATAAAAATGTCTTTTCCAGAGCTTCCAAACAAATAAAATAATAACATACTAAGAGAATGAATAAAGGTCTAAAAGTTAATATTTCAGAACAAGAGAAAATTTTTCTCAGTTAATTTAAACATTTGTCTCTATGCATCTTTGACATTTGGAGCCAGAGGAAGGGGTGTTAAGAAGTAATTGCATTCGCTGCCTTCCAGATATCTTTTATTGGTTCTCAAGTGAATCTGAATTCAAGAAAAGGCTCTGAATGTTTGTGTGCATGGGGAAAATATTTCTTTTGACATTTTGTTCTCTGGTAGCACTTTATGCTTATGCGTATATAAATAAATTCTTTGAAAAGCAAACTCTTTGAGTACACATATTAATGAAAAGGGGATGACAAGGCAGTTCTTCTAATTTTCTGTTTATAAGAGAAAACATGCCAGCTAAGGATCTTTGACATATTTGACCTTTTTTTTAAAAGATGTCTTTATTTTAACCAGTGGGAATTTTGTGTCTGGATCACTGCTGTGCAAAGATTAAGCTAATTGCAAAAATCACTAAAAAAGTACAAGCACTTTGAGACACAATCCAACGAGCATTACAATCAATAGCTAATGGATTGAGTCCCTTATAATCATTATACAGATGGAGTTATGAATGGAAACCAGACTTTTTCCAAACTTGGGCCTCCTACTACAGTTTTGAAAGCTGCAGCGTATAGTATGTCTTTAGCTGCTTGATTTTAAAAACTCAGTTGTATACATTGGTCAAAATGTTCTACTCAGTTGCAACAGAAATGCTAACAATTACAATGTGCGGGGAGCAGTTTGGGTGCTTGAATGTAGGTGTCTGGTGTCTTTTCACATAGCTGCTGCCACATGAAGGTAAGCATGTCCTGTCAAGTCTGTGTTTTATCTGCCAGCTGCTGGCAGATATCTGGGATGCCCCAGGCCACCTGAAAATGCTTAAAATATTTAGGTACCTAAATCACTCCAAGGCTTTCTGAAATTTTTTAAAAAAGAAGAAACAATGTTCTGAAGGATAGGATTCCTTTAAGAGGAAGTCTATACATTTTGGTTTCCAATCTAACATATCTTTAAAGTTATTTTTTATAGTTGTTTATCATGATCTATTAGCTATGAGGGAAACCTAAATTTTCTAGACCAAAATAAAGGACTGGCTGATTCTCCTTTCACTTAACAGCTTTTTGCAGTAGTCCCATAGATGCCGACATAGTCTATGTACACTTCATGGACAGGATTAATTCTGGAAAACAGAAGTCTAGAGAGTGTGCTATTTTGTCTTTTCCTGGAATAAAAAAAAATATAATGAGAGCAATTATTTTATCAGATTTTGAATCTCAGTTTAGTATACACTAAAGATATCTCAAGAAAACCATCTAAAATTATCCAAGTGACAAAGCTGGCACAAGTTCCCATGTGAGCATCTTTGTTACCTCACAGTAGAAGTGACCAAGGGTTGCTTTCTTGTAGGAAAATACTGTAAGAGCTGTAACAACCAAAATGGGGCACCCTTTTTCAGGGATGGGATTCCCATGGCATGCTGCACCCTGATCAGACACGTTTGGTGCTGCGTACCTTTGGGGTTCCCAGGATTAAAAGGACATGGGATTATCTAAAGTAGTCTCCATTTCTCTATAGCACTAGCTCTAATAAATACCATTTTAAATTATACTTTACAGAGTCTGAGTGCCTTTCTTACTAGGATTGTAATGGAACAGCACCTGCTTGTGCAAAAAATCATCTAGCCAACTTATTTTCGGTGTCTTAACTGAAGTAGATGCTTCTGCTAAGCAATTACAATGCAATTTTTGCTTATTTTTCATTTTACAAGGTTAATTAGAATAGTAACTTCTAAATTTCTCAGTTATCCATAACTGCAGATTTTCTTAGCTATTTACCCCATTTTTATGTTGATTTTACACTGATTTTATGTACCAAAGTACCATTTCAGACATGTAATAGAAATCCTTCATTTCTCTGTAAAGCAAACCCAAAATATGTTACAGAAAATGAAAATTCAGAATGAAAATTAATTTATATTTTGTTAAGTTTCAAAAGAAGGAACAGCCAAAGTAAGTATGGAGATTGCAGCAGGAGAAAATTACTGAGTCTAATAATCAGTAACTGAATTCTGTTAACAGGAATGACTCATAAATAAAACAAATGTGACCAATATCCCAACATCTTTTGCTAACAAATTTTGTTTGTACTGTATTTAGTAGTCTAGATAAACATTGTTCCCTCCCTTAAGCCTCCCTACTTTTTCAGCTTGTTTAACCTGTAGAGCCTTAGCTTGGCTTAGTTAGTGTCTGCCTGTCTTGCTGTCAGTCTCTGCTTGTCTTGCTGTCTGAGGAACCAACTAGAGGAATGTCTGCAATCCTTGGGCTAGGCTGGGTGACAGTCCTGGTCTGAACATACACGATGAAGACAGACTCTGCCAGAAGTACGGCTACCATGATTTTGGCATAGGGTATAGTTCACAAGGAAGCAGAGGAAATTTCACCAGACAGCTGGCTCAAGCCTTTCTTCCACACAAGCAAAAATTACATTTTTCCTGCTACAAAAGACACAACAGCGTTACATTCCCATCCCTGAAAGTGGAAAACTTAAATTCTGCAGCAGCAGCATGGACAAACTCAGCTGTCTCCTGCGGGTGCAGCAGCAGGTTGGCCCCGAGGAGACGAATATGCAGCAGACAGCGAAGATCCCTCCTGACTAACTCACTCTGCTTTGCCTGGAAAAAGCATCTGCAGAGCAATTCCTGCACTTCTCACCAAGAGCTGCTTTGTGCGTGCTGCCTCCTCTTTGTATGAGTGTCATTGGCTCTGCCAGCAGCGAGAACTTCCACTGTGGGGCAGTGGGAGGGCAGCTGCTCTTACTGCAGATGTTGGCAAAGGGCCCTGAGCTCTCTAAGCGGCCACCCTGGAGCCTCTCGCCTCTCCAGTGACCCACCCTCACAGGGCACTGGCCCTCACTGTGCCTGCTGGGCACAGGTCCAAGTCCTCCCATCAGCGAATAAAATACAACTAGATGGAAGAAAAAAAAATATCAAGAGCTATCAAACAGAAAGACGTCACTGGAAATTCTTGAGGCACAGATCAGTGGAGAATCAAAAGAGTGCACTGGGCAAATATGTCTTCAGTTCCTGTCCTCCGCCCAAGTTATGGATCAGTGGGACCCAACACGGCTGTTCGTGTGCTTTCACCCAAGTCCTGGACTCAGGTTCCTGAACTGCAGTCCCTAGTTGGGAGCACAGGACAACGAAAAGCCCAAGTCCTGCCAAGAGCAGTGGCAGACATTTGAAACTGATGCCAGCAATGAAGTAGCGCAGGATGGATGGGTTCACATTGAGCCTGTGCTAGGTCAGGCAGGAGATGAGCCAAACAGTGCCCCAGTATGCATTACTACTGTTGTCATTAATATTTGCTATAAAAAGCAGTGATGACTTCCAACTTGTCCCCTTGTGGATGAGGGTAGATGCCGTATTCCACACAGCAACTTGCAGAGTTGTTATTCTAGTCATGATTAAAAAAATTCTGTTGGTCGTCTTCCATCCTAGTGCGAATACATAACACCTAGCATTATATGTCTGAATATTGTTATATTATACTGTAAAACAGCAGATGTGGATGGAACACCCTGGCACCTTCTATGCTGAAGTCAGTTTCATTATGTTTGCAAAAGGCAAATACAGATACATCAGTGTACTTTATTATAATGTCATATTCCTGACACTATAGTAAAAGTTGATTTGGTGTTTCCATTAGAAATCTCATTTTCAGAGGCTTATGACTCATCCATCTAAGTTTTTTCAGGATGAGATTTACCATACAGACCACAGCCTGCTTATAATTCCTCCTCTAAAAAATTGGTCAGTATTGGTTATCTGCACATTTTAAAACCCAAGAGCTCAAATGAATTGTTTCCTTCATGCTATTCATTTTTTAACAGTA